ACCGTGTTAGATAAGAGTGTGATAAGAGTGGCGAGCTTTCAAATTCAGCCGTGCCAATACTACCGTAGGAACCATGTTCGTGATGATGCAGAGCAAAATTACCTTCTTTTTTGAAATAATTTATCAATCAATTCATTTAGTTTTCAAGGTCAAATTCTGCTGTCCTACGGTGGAACATTTTTGACATTCCAGCGCTTTATCGCGCGTGAACACTAGTTTTCTTCTTTTGCGTATTGTGTGAGAAATCCTTAAAACCAAGTGAGGTAGAATGGACAAAGACTGCAAATAAGGCATCGTGCTGTCTAGAGGGTCGCTCTTAGGCGGCTTTTAATCAATTGACTGACTGCTGCCGTAATTATTTCCAGTAACATTCATTTACTTATTGGAAAAATTGGTGAAGTTAGAAGCATAACACTCTTAACAGTGTCGCCAAATGTGGAAAATATTTTGTTTCAGGATAATTGATCACATCGTAAAATTGAGGACGGTGCAATAATCCGGTTTGACAAATTTGATATATTTTGAGGTGATCGGAATGTGAACTATAAAAATAGAGATGATGGAGTAGTAAATTTTGTCAACCGTAGGTGGTGCAACAACTTTCCTCTTTTGTTTCATTTTAATGTAAGAAAGTTCAACTGCATTGTAGTTCAATCTAAGCCCAGTTTTCTTAGTAAATTTAATCATACCATACTAGCAAACACTTACATTACCCTGACATGCCCACTGCTGACATCCGGGTATGTTCTATAACTCTTTCTCAACACAATTCGTGACTGGCTTAGATCAGTCGTTGTGCATTGCTGCTGGTGATTTTACTACTTTCGGTGTTTCGTGGTTTAAGCACTCTCAGCTTGGGTAATCCTGTGCGTTCTTCCACACGTTTGGAGGCTCCGCTTGACGGCATTTTGTAAAGATTCTAGAGGTCTACTTAGTGAGAAAGCGTGCCCATCCCACCAGTGTACAGTTCTTTTGCGCCTAAAAATAAATAGCAAAATTTATCCCTGTCAACAAGCACAGGAAGCGTTCTGGACAATACAAAGGAGGAATTACACCCCCGGTAACCTAACCAGACTCCAAAATATGATTTTCTAAACCTTTTTTCGTATTTTCTAAATTCAATAATCCTTCTACAAGCAAACATCTAACCGATCACGATTTGTGCTGCATCATCAAACCTAAATATATTCGTACTAACCGATTTTCATCGCCTCATCAACCATCATTTGATTGAAAACCTTTGCCGAACACCTTGAAATACCCATTGCCAAATTGTTCAATCTGTGTATGTCCTCCGGAACAATCCCAGATTGCTGGAGGGAAACCCGGATATGACTCATTCTCAAGGTGTTTTCTTCACATCTTCGACCGATAGCTTGTACCTTAGATCTGTTGATAGTATTTGAAATAGTGCTGCTGAATCGGCTGACTACGATCGCTGATGTTCTCGATCCTCTTCAATTTGCTTATAAACATTTTCTTTCGATTGTTTACACCGTGGCTTCTGTTGTTCATTCTGTACACTCAGATTCAGACAAAAGTAGTGAAACTGTTCGCCTTATTTTTCTTCATTATACCAACGCCTTTTGTTCGCTTGACTGTCGCAATATCTGTGACTTAGGATCGGATGTATTAAAGAGACAAATCCTGCCGTCAGGTTTGGAACGGACTGAAGTTGCTCGGTGATCGATCAACTTCGCCTACTACATTCTCATGTGATATCTATGAGCTCAACAAATCCTTCTTCAGTTTTTCAGTGATAAACGTTGTGCAAGCTTTACCGAGTCCAAACACAACGTCACTTGATTTCCACCTTCCCGTGACTGTCACAACAGAGCAAGTTTTAAAGAAGTCAAATCCTATCAACAGAAATAAGTCCGCTGGTCCTGATGGGTTATCCTCAATGATCATTAAAGCATGCGCAAACCACGTCGCACAAAGCGTTTCATTCATCGTTAATACATGTCTCTCAGAAAGAAGACTAGTTAACACATGGCGTGATGTTCGCTTCACTCCAGTACTTAACAAAGAAAAGAGTAAGCTTCGGCCTATTACTTCATCTTCAGTATTTCTTAAGACTTTTGAGAGTATTATAATTAAGTACCTATCCTCTAATAACTATTTTTCATATCTTTAAGCTCATTTGTAATAGCGCGTATGCCAAAGCAGAAGTGATAACATTCTTTTCACTGAAGATTCTGTCCATATTGGATGAAAAAAGTCAACTCTTGATTTGACGTGTCAAATAATTCCCTTTGGAATGAAATTCACTTGATGCATTAGTAAAACTTGGTCCTGTTCTTACGTTAACACTGTTGTGTCCTACGGTGCGTTTTGTCTGCATTCTTTTTCCCTATAAATAAACACCCTGCCTGTCCTTACCCATAAGTATACTGAGTGCCCCTTCGATAACATTGTACATTCCCACCAACTTCAAGACGACGTTTTTAGATAGAATCTGCTCTGGCATAACCAGAAATGTCTTAGTTGACTTTATTCCGTGCGCACACATCGACACATGTGAACAAATAGTAAATAGAATATTGAAAAATGCAGATCAATGCTTGCACAGCAAACTCCCTGAATCCATGCCAAACACCCCGTGCGTATTCCCATAATGAGCTCCTTCCCTCAGGCACCGCCACATACAGAGAAACAGCATCCTCTCTTACCCTGCACGCACTTTAGTGAACCGGGCACCAATTAGTAAAGGTTTGGTGGAATTTATCTGGAGTTAATTAGTTTATCAATTTATTAAACTATTAGTTTCATCTTCCTGCACCCAGTGCGCTGTCATTTTTGTTTACAATCGGTATTTCCCCCCACTTCAACTGTATTCTCTTAAAAATTGATGAAAATTACCCATCGGGTGCATAAAGCTTAGTTTTACGAGATTGGACTGACTTGACCTAACTTGAACAAGTTCCACCCACCTAATAAAACAGAATTTTGTAGTAAAATCATTCTGTTCTCTCCTAGAGCAATATACACATCTGCTGGTTTGACGCGTTTATAAGGTTGTGCTACCATCACTAGCTTCAGAATAGTTGTTCAAGATAAAATACAAGCAGCCGGTTGGTGGACAAATTCACCGTGACCTAGTTTTAGTGATACGCACAGTTCATGTGCACTGAACCTTGTTCACTAATTTAAACAGGACGGGTGTGAACACGAGTCATCCGTTCAGTCTTTGTTTTTAGACGGTGGATTTATTCAAACCCAGAGATTTATACTTTCTGATATTAGTCGTGATGCTGCACATAACCCATTTGGATGATGACAAAAATGAATTATATCGCCTAAATGGTGGAATAAAGCGGTGACGACAGTCTGTTTCCTTTGTAATGTTTTCGTCTATTCACAAGGATCTGAATGATTCCACCGATTCTTCGATCTATTCCAAGACCCACCGTCGTGAAGCATCATCGTTAGTTAATCTCTCACGTGTTTTTTCAACTGTATTACTCCGTTAATTCGTCAGGAACCTAACCCAAGTCAGTATTGTTGTTTGAGCGTTTTGGCCCTGAAATTCCGCCCATAAGATTCACGTCAACCATCACACCATGCATTGCAAAACAATGTAAAATCAAAAGAGATGCCCGTGTACAATACGAAAATAGTTCATATCCCATACACCAAACATCGAACATTAGCATTAGCTGACGAGCATAATACTCTGTCTTAAATTAATACCCAACTATAAGGAGGAGTCTTCTTTACGGTGGAATATACTGGACTTCGGAGTGCATCAATGGATGACAACGGTGAAATGATCTGTCGGTATATTTTGAATGCTATGCGACAGCCAGAACTCTTCGAGGAAAAACGTAACCAGGGTGTGTCATTTTGATCACTGAGGATCCCGACCAAGTGGGTAATTGAGATTGAACAAATACTACTTATGGTTAAAAAGACTGACAAATAAAAACCCTAAGTGTTGTTTGATATTTGAAGACGGCGTTTCCTCAACGATAAGTTTTGCTTTGATAGATAAAAATCACATCAGAGGCAGATATCAAAACCAGACAATCTTAAATCTAAAGGCTGGAAATAGCCTATAATTGTTAAATCAATGCAAATCGATAAATGTCGGTTAGTTTTGGTTTGATGCAAGGTCCGCAGAGCCCTCAATGATCACAAGCTACCGAAAAATCATCATTCAACATCATTCACCACTTTTAAAAACTGTACATGTCAGAATGTGAAATAATAATAACATTATGGTTATACGATTCCAAAGTGTGTTAACAGCTTAACGATTTTATTTGGGTATTTTTTAGGCAAAGAGCGCACGATGGATTTGCAGCGGATTTAGGAATAATGTGCGAACTATCATATATGCGATAAATGTAGATTTCAAGGATCTATTCAAAATTTCATTAGATCTGCTGATAAATATCTTTATTCCTTTAGGGTTTTTAGTAAAATTATACTGATCAATGCAAGGCTGGGGAAACCAACTTTTAATTTCTCAGCTTTGAACAATTACAGTTATTGATACTTATTGATTTCTGGCAGTAAAGCTGGATATCGTTCATTTTCCGTAATGATATTCACAGAATCCGGCTGTTGTCTTGACCAGCACAGCGCCCGCGGGTGCGATTGACACGTACAAATCGGAGAACACAACAATCCGTTTGGACTTTCCACCAAACTCCGTGCAATCATACTATGTGGAAGTGGAGATGCAACAAACGGATGTGGCTGAATTTGGCTATGCCATCATCACCCAAGTTGGATCCTCGTTGACCTCATTCATTGCCGGTGTAAGCTAACCCTTCCCGGGTGCTCGATTCTAGAGAACTGTGACCATGGACTATTTTCAACTGAATGTTCATCTTTGAGTCTCATTATTTAAGATTTCTTGCGCTTTCTAGTACTTCTTAATAAAATCTGAATAGTGTCAAAATCATCTCTACGTATCCAGTAGATAAACTGACCATTTGAGCATTTCCTACTAGATACCTGATGATTATGACTAGACGATTCTCAATAGTGTTCACAATCAACCAAGGTAACCAAACCAGGAGGAGCAACCTTCTGATGGTCTCTCCCCCCAAATACCTTCGTGCCTTATGAAGAATCTCTGCTATTCCGTTCGGTATATCCTGTTGCTGACAAACACGCAGTTGAATAATGTGGCTAAGGTTAGGTCAGTGACAAAAGAGACATGAGGATGATGCCATTTTTCGGTCTGCTATAACAGTTAATAAAAACTTACTGAAATATCTGACATGGTCAGTTTGTACGGGTCTGTTAATGACTACTAATCTTACGTATACTCATTGTTTCAGGTAGAAATTTTGCAATTCCCCATTTCATCGAGTAATATTAACTTACCTCTCATATATGAATGGATAATCACCTTATGGGTTAGAGGATGTTAAATAATACGACCAACATAACAGGTCACAATAAAAAAATGAATTAGGATACTTGAATGGTGGAATATCAGTTGCAGAATAGTCTAGACCGTGCCAACATTCCCACGGGAAAGGTTCCCACCTCCCACCCTCGAGAAAAAACTCAAACAAGACTCAAGGCTAACTTTGACATTACTCTCTACTCAATTGAAGGTTTCGGTCTGTCCGATCTGCAACGCATTATTTTTTCATCCTTGTAAGACTATAGTGCAATGCATATGCTATACTTTGGTTAATTTGCTGTTCATTGCACACATGGTCCAGTTTGCTATTTTTCTTACCGTTTCAGCAATGTTTGTTCCTGACTTTGTTTTAAAAGCCGATAACCAGATTCCTTTGGGTCAACTAGTTAAAGTGAGACTATTTGCGATAGGAAAATTTGTTTTTTTGTTGGTCAACAATGAGTGCAGTGTGATGTGGACTGTTGATCTAAGGTTGAAATCTTGACCTCCGAGCCAAAAATTTG